GATAACAAATCCGATAAACTGATTATTTGAATTATGAAAAAACTTATATGTCAATTCATAGTTTGATAAAATAAGGAATTTCTTTGTATATAAATTTATACAATTTTAACAGTTTTATTTTGATTAAATGCAAATGATATGTAAATAAATATTAAATATATTTTTTAATCAGCTGTAGCTTTTAAATTATGTGCATCATGCTACATTAACTGATTGTATTTTAAATTTCGAATTGTCGAAAGATCTATTTCAATGATGCAATATTCATTTTTATCATCAACATAAATATGAAGATAACCAAATAAAAGGACTGATTAAATTGATATGCTATGTTTGTTACGAATCACCGTAAAGTTTTGATTTATTAAAATACATAATTACTCATATAATAATACATACATACATATGTATGTACATCTGTATTTTAGTCAAATAAACCGAATCCCATATCTTCATCTTCTGATTCAGATTCTTGTTTCTTTTCTTCTTTTTTTTCTGCAGCTGGTGCTTCTGCAGCAGCAGCAGTAGCAGCTGGTGCAGAAACAGCAACAGCAGTAGCAAATTTACTTGGATCCTATAAAAAATATTAAACAATACCAAAGGTTTAATAATTATATATATATTAAAAACTAGAGTATGTTGTCAAATTGTTTTTAACGCATTTTTTAACAAGAATCATTAAGTGTAAGTTATACTATTTTTAACTCTAACACTAATTACACAAGATTTTCAGAAAAATCATTCATTATATCAATATTCACATGTTTTGTGTCAATAAAGAAGAAGGAAACACATAAATATAACATACTTTGATGTATTCCTTAATTGTAGCTGCTTCTGTGAATTCAACATCCGTCACAGCAGCAATTGCCAACAGATTTTTGAATCCATTAGCAATACTATGGGGTGCACTAGCTATTGTAGGATAGCCAATAGCTAAACATACTGCAGCCAAATTTGCCACTCCAGCCATAAATTTTTCACGTAGATCTTCTGGTTTGATATCTAAAATTTCAGGTGCAAAAATAGTACCTGAATCATAGACTTGTTCAACAAGTAAACCATATGAAAATGGAGAAATGTTCAACATATTTAAAAGAGTGGCTTCAGATGCACCTACTTTATCTCCTGGTTTTAAAATATGTACATCATTCTAAAATATAATAGAATAAATATTAATCTTTTCTTCAGATGGAAAGATATTCGTTTTAATTGAATTATATGCTTACAATAATTTCAATAGTACCCTTAGAAATCTTGGTAGGAATGCTCAAAGCTTGGAAGAATGATGTTTTTTCAGGACCAAGACCAGTGTTTTGTGCAGGAATAATTACACTTAATGGTGCAATAGCACCTGCTCTGGCTGGTGCTCTGACTTTATTTTCCAATAGTTTGTCTCTTACTTCGATTAAGTCTCCACGTGTAAAAACAAAACCAACATTTCCACGAATATGCGGAAGAAGTTTTTCAAGGGCAGCATTACGTTCGATATGACCACGAATAGCTTTCCTCATCATAGTGTTTTTTCCCATTAATACAACAGCATTCCCACGAAGAGACATACGGATTTGTTGCATTTGTTTAGAACCAACATTGTCAGCACCCACAATAAAACATTTTGGATAATCATCCAATAGTTGCTACATAAAGATATATAGAAAAGAATATAGAAATGATCTAAATATATTAATTAAAACACCTCAGTAAAACATCTGGAATACTTACAACAAGTTTTGTAAAATAATTGGATTTCCATGTTGCCTTGTCCTCCCTACCCATCTTGAAGTGTGTATAGGGAACGTTTAAGGACTAAAAATAAAAAAAACTTACTTAAATATACTTTACTATTATTGTTGCAAGATATTTTCATAAAGATTAAAATCAGACTACACATTCGTGTAATGTATAATCTCATAATCTGTACACAGATGGGTTCTGCTATTTCTAGCTTCTGTGTAGTTCTCAGATTATCAGACGTTTTGTTTTATCATCATGTTAGTTTTTTTTATTTCATTTGTTTTATATATTTTATTTATTTCATAAATATTTATAAAACATGAATTTTACTTGTGTAAAAATTCGATATAATTAATCATATGATGTTAAAGAAAATTGTGGTTATGTGACCACATGGCATATACACATTTTAACTTAAATAATCACAAATATTTTATATTCTTTGCATTTTATTAATGTAATATGATGTAATTAGTATTATAAAGTAATTTTTATAAGTCAAAAATCAGTAAACAAGTATTTTCTTATTAAAATAGCAAGAAACAATTTCTCTTACCTCAGCAAAGTTTACAGATGCTACATAGAAGAAAGAGGAAGTTCTCTTACCGGATATGCCTTCTTATTTAGCGCGAAAATTTAAAAAATTTGAAAATGTCCAAAGAAACAAAATTATACAAAAATAATAAATTTAATGTTGTTTTCGAGGTTTATGTGAAGATAGTTAAAATTAGATAAAAATATATTAAAATTTGTTAGTTAAAACTAGATAAAAATATATTAAAATTTGTCATAGATATTGCATTAAAATAGTAGGGATACGAATAAAATTGAAAACTATTATTATTTAAACTCGAAACATAAGTTATTAATTTAATTAAAATTTTTAATCTTTAATTAAATATTTTTTAAATCTTAAGTATAAGTGTTTCAATATTTTTATAAATTATTTATTTCAATATATTTATTGAATTATTACAGTTTGAAATAAATAATAAAAAGATTATATTGTATTTCATATTTATTTATTTATTTAAAATTACAAATATAATTTCTACTTAATCCAAAATTGGTTTTAAATTAATCTTTGTAATATATTTAATTATTCTTATAAAATATTTATCATAATATGAAAATGGCACAATATTAAATAAAACATGAAGTCAAATTTGTAGGAAAGGAAAATACTTTGCTATATAATCAATAAGAAATCTTTTTTAATTGCACACTATATAAATAACTATAGATTGGTAGATAAAAATATATATTAATTTTAAAACACTAATTTGGAATTTGTTATTTCATTCTGATTTATACCGATAAGATTTCTTCAGCGCATTTTTTCAATACATTCACTGCAAAATCGATGTCACTTTTGTTGAGAAGTGTAGAAATACAAAGTCTAAGACTAGGCCTACGTAAATTTTTCTCCGCTTCTAAATAGACAGGAGTTATAACTGCTAAATTGTTTTCAATACATCTATTAGAAATCTTAGAAAGCAATTGCTCTTCTGCAGCACGATCTTTTTTATTTTTTAAAAATACATGTTTTACTGGGGATTCTGGGAAACTTGAACATTTCAGGCAATGAATATTTTGAAGTCCTTCATTTATAGCTATGCAATTATCCTTTAATGATTTAAATATTTGCGGATTATTTTTCATAATGTCTAAAGAAGTAATAGCTGCAGTTGTTAAAAGAGGTGGTAAAGATGCAGAAAAGCAATATCCAAGCCCAGATAAGCGTTGGTGCTCAATAATAAATGATGTACCTACGCAGAAACCTCCAATAGATCCCATTGCCCAATCCAGAGAACCTGCATTAAATATAGCAAATACAATACAAATATCAAAGATTAAGATTCATTAATCATAATTCAATAAAATTATTTACCCATAATCATATCAATTTCCTGTTTAGGAATATCAAAGTGTTCAGTGATGCCTTTCCCATGTTCACCGAGAGTTCCAAATGATATTGACTCATCAATAAATATTCTTAATTTATATTGTCTACAAAGTGCAACCAATTCTGGTAATGGACAGATATTTCCAGTATTCATATAAATACCTTCAATTATTAGGAAACGTTTGATTTTAGCTGCTTTTTTAGGGTTCTGTTCATCAATTTTTGCCTGTTTTATTAATAAACTATGAAGATCATTTGCATCATTATGTTTAAAATAAATAATATTAGCTTTAGATGCATCTAATCCTTTTTGTATAGCAAAATTTACTTGTTCATCGACAAATACAAGATCCTTGCGCTTACAATAAGCTGCGATTGCAGAGGAAATTGTACTAAATCCATATGAATATACAACTGCTTCTTCTGTATCTGTGTAATTTGCTAAGCGTTCTTCCAATTCAAGATGAACATCAACAGTACCATAAAATCCACGCGGCCCACAAGAGCCTACTCCATATTTTCTAATTGCTGCTATTGCATTTTTTTCTATTTCGTTATTTTCAGTTAATCCTAGATAATTGTGCGTGCCTAAATTTAGGCAGTCTTTTCCGTCTACCACTATTTTTTTACCAGCTCTGGACATTATGCGTCTTGGATTTAAAGATATATGATTCATTTGCGGATTATTTATCAAAGGTTCAGGATTCCATTCAGCCAGCTTTCTTTCTACTTCATTTTCAGTTAGCATTCTGTCTCGGCTGTAATACCTTTTACTAATAAACCAGGTGAGCCACATTATTAAGAACACTCCTAGCAATATATGATATTGAGGTATTATATTTAAAATATTCATTGATTCAATAAATAGAAATTTTGTGCTCATGTTTTTGGTTGTATATTTCTGTATACCCTGTTTTTATTTTCTGTGTTAACTTTTAACGCAACTCAATTACTTTAACAAATGATACTCTGATTAAAATATTTATCCAAAATGATTGTAAAATGTAGACTTCAAAATGCTTATCACTTTCATGAAACAATTACACGAAAGAATAACATCAATAATTGTATTTTGAAAGTAAGTTGGTATTGCAAAATACTACGAAATCTTTAATTTCATAATAATAAATACTGTTAATAACTTTAATTTTATAATAATAAATACTGTTAATAAAAGATTAGATAAAACTAATTTCGACTGATAGCAATAACTGCAGTTACTTCTTTTTCGAAGAATCAAGGAAAAACCAGATGGCAGCACCGATATATGCATACATCATAGATGCCAATGCGGGATATTATTTTAAAATATATTTGATGCACAAGTTTTCAAATTTACATCATAGAAAGCTTCATTTGCATTCTGTTACAATTTCAATTTCGATAAATTAAGACGTGCAGAAATAAATTTAAAATTACCTATAATGTGCCAAATCTATCAAACGCGTAACGCGTAAAGAAATATTCTGTTTCTTTATCTTGTTAGTACAATAGTTATAGTTTCAAAGTAATAATGCGGTGTTAGAGTAAATTGCAGATAATATTTGAACGTGGGCGCATGTGTGATTCCAAAGCTCGCGCAATAGTAAAAGTAGCACTTCCGGTATCCGGCAAACGCCCCAGTGTATGTAGTAATGTTGTCAGATTGAATTCTCGCTACTTGTGTATCGTGTTTGTTGTGTTGTTATCAATTGTCAAAAGTATAGTATGCATATTGCTGGATTTCACTGAGACTCAGTATTGGTAAGTAAATTGGCATTATTTTATTTATATTTACTGGGACATTTCACTGCCGCTAGATATGTATTAACTACGCTGAAAACATTTTACTATTTACGAGAGGCTCTGCAGTTTACGTTATTCGTACTTTAATTCAATTTACATACAAATGTAAATATATATGTGTACTTGAAAAGCGTGATACGATCATACATCTAATGAGTCGAATTGGGATTATTTCTTCGATGAAAGAAACGAAAGTACGTCTAGTTTGGTTATGAACATGGTTAGACTTGTGTGTATATTCCCCCTGCTGTGTTTCGATTATGAGTCATACTATGCTGCACCTGACACTTGACACCTGGTAACGTATTTTAAAGCTACATAATATTGGAAAGCTACCTATAATCTTATTAAATGGTACGCTTTAATTCAATTGTTTCACTTCCGCTGCAGAAATTGAGACCTGTAACTTAAAAATTGCCAATAGTAATTTTTAACGAAAGTATTTGAAACTCGATGCCCAAATAAGGATTTATTTAAGGTATGAAATTATTCAATTTAATGTTAGACAGAAGAGTGTTATTTAAATTTATATAAAAAAATGTCTTTGATCATATTTATTTAAAGGTACTATTTTTCGGGACATTATCCATTTGATAATTATGAAAATATTCATTATCAAGATTTTATATTATTAGGTTGGTTACGTGATACGGTCCTGTGATTCTAACGCAAGATTAAAATTCCATCGTGAAAGCTGACGAACTGAGTCCGTTATCGTCATTCATCATTTAGTCATCGAACGCATGAGTTTTTACGCTTTAACATCTCTCTGTTTTAAACAATCATTTGCGTGCTTATTGAAAACGATTTATTTCGAAATGCCCGATTTTGACAAAGTAGTAGAAGATAATTCCCGAATGGTTCCAGGCGCTTACAAAAAAGTTTTGAATATGTGGCAAAATCGTGAGTACAAGTTAAAATTCTTCCAAATTTAAATTGTGACAAATTATATTCATTATACTTCTGTATATAATATTTCAATATTTGATAATTTTGTAGTTGTGTTACAAGTAAATCGTATGTAGATGCAAAAGATGATTACAAAGCTGTTGTTACAAGTATGATATTGATTGAATACTGTAGAAATTTGAAGTACGTTTCACTTCTTACAGAGAATAATGATTAATATTTTATCATTTATTTTTACATCAATTATTACATAATATTTTCTCGCAAACGTGTGATAGTTCAGAATATGTGATAATCGAATTCAGATCACATAGAGCATAATTTATAAAATAGTAATATTTCAGCTTTTATCTAGATAAGATTTATCATTTTATCAGCGCGAGTTATTTATAATAAAACAAAGTACGATAAACTACGTTCGTAGATGTACCGGAAATATAATAATGTATGCGATTGTGAGTCATTCTCAGTTATTTGCTTACGGTTTATTTGATCATTCCTTTCTGACTTGTTCGTGAGAAATGTTCTACGAGTTTCTATGATATATGTAGCACACGTATACTTTCAATACATTTTCATGTCACTAGTAAAATTTCATACTTATGTATACGAATTTTATGTTGTATTATACTTTCGAATCGAAAATTAGTAATCCGTTGCCTTTTTAGTTGCTGCGAAGACAGAACAGTTACGATTAAAGTTTTGACAGTGGTCCTGTTAGAAACGATATTGAAATCTCGAAAGTCCTGCACTGCACGTGGCTCTTTTATCTAAGGAACTTGTAACAATTTCGGGTCTCGTCCACCCTGTGGCAGCACCGCAGTGTGCCGGTCGAAACCTAAAGCAGTGAAGCATTACGCCGGCTGCTTCCAAAGTACACTGTTTTCCGAGAGGGTAGACACTCCACCCTTATAGATCTCGTGAATTGATTCAACGTTTTCACTCGCAATGTACAACTCCGGTTCATCATTTGTTCAAGTGTCAATAACTCTGGCATACCTGGAACAGTGATTTAGAGCAGTCATCATTTCCTAAATACCTGGGCGGTGTTCCGAAGGCTGAAACAATTTTTTTCTTTTTCTTTTCATCATTAGTAAAACGCACGTAATATTAATTCGATGGGTTAAAAGAGTTGGTAATCTGAGGGACGCGCAGCACAAATTTTCAAGTGGAAGATTCGCCCCATATCGGTGTATTAATGCCATACATTGATTTACATCTTTAATTACATTTTCTATACGTTCAATTTGTAAACGTGATTCATTGCAGATGAAATGTATGCAAATTTCATCGGGCGACTGAGCGTGCATTGAAAGGACATGTGCTTGTGACGATATATACGTGTGTGTTCATCTTTTTGCTGCTGCTTATCGGATTTTCGAGTCTTTTGAATTTTTTCTTCTTTCATTACGAAGAGCAAGGCCACACTTGGAAGAATGATTACTGCCAGATAAATCGTACACCCAATCTTCTAAAGGGAGAGAATCTTTCTTTCTTTCGTATTTCTGGCGGTCGAAAATCGCATGTGAAATACCATTTAGTCTTCCAGAGTATCTGAAAAATTTTACGATCGTCTTTTTTATATGACGTGCAACGTCCATTTTTACATCTGTTACACTGATCCCGAAAAAACGTAAAGCCTGGGCGTTGTTGGAATCGATCCATCGCGCCATCAAGGGAAATTCGCGGGGAAAAGTTATACGCTATAGATCTCGTATTCCACGTACGATTCCTTAAGTGTTGCAATTTCGTTGCAAGTGTCTTTATATACTTCTTAGCGAAAACGTTGCGAAATTGTTCCTAGAAGCTGTTGTTTGTTTAAACGATAAAACGGAGATTTTTCAATCGTTGAAAACGTTAGATTAGGTTTGATAAAACTTACATACAAATATATTATCTTTGTTACATTGACGATATACGTTGACTGTTAATTAGACTATCTAATTGCCTAGTGATTTCTGTAAAGGAAGGAAATGATTTGTTAATTATTGATCTTATTACACGCCACGTACTTAAAGATCCTCGGTACTTAATCGCGTATTACGATATTAACGGATCCACATTCCGTGTAAACACATAAACCGGCTGTGAAGATATGTAATTTATACCGGGTTATACACGCTGAACAATTTGTAGTGTATGATTTCCCGTGGGAAATCCGGCTGGAAATATTCGGTTGCTCGGCTTGAAAGAGCCAGCGGAACTAAAATATTCAAGCACCAGTTTATACACTGGTACTGGTACGGCTGTGAGGGGTCAGCGTTGAACTTGAGCGCCTAAATATTAAAATATTCTTCTATTCGCTGTTATTACCTTCGATAATACTATTCCAGATCGATAATCGTTACATTTTAAGAAGCGTTTACGCTGTTTTCTATTTACAATTGTTACATATATTCTAATTGACACAAAACTAAAATT